CTGCCATACGAGTATCTGTCCGACAATGAGGAGGATTCTAAGTGTTTAAAACAGCTGAATACTCTCCACCTGAACAATGAGTTTCAGCTCTCAAAGACACAGCAAGGACGAGTCCCACTTCAGCTCTTCAGCGGATAATGTTTCCAACAGGAAGTCAGGGAGTTAACGTCTAGCAATTTACCTTCTTTTTTTCTTTCTGTATGTTTTTTGACATACTAGCGATACCTAGGCTACTTGGTGGATTACTTTGAAATTTGAAACAGACATTCATTATCACAAGAGGATTTATCCAGCTGACATAAATTATGAACTGCATTTGCTTTAAGTTCTTCTGTGAGGTAAAAATGTAACTTTGCCATAACTTTGGTTTATGACAATACCCTCAGGACTAGTGACATTCCCACCTTCCTAAGTGCCTTGTTTTAAGTGCTAATAAGCTAATTTTAGCATGCTGACAAGTTATTTTTTTAAGAGTGAAACTTTTGACTGTTAAAAAAACAAGGATGACATTTTATGGTAAACACAAATGTGCAGGACAAAAAAGAGGAGAGATAAGAAGTACCACTTTGTCGGTAGGTGGCCCCAAAATCAAGTTGCTCTAAGGAGCTTTGAAAAAGTAAGAAAAGATGGATTATATAAAAAATAACTCCATGTACAATGTCTTTCGATAAAGAAATTATATTTTTGTACCAGACTGTAAACATATTTATTTTAAGTATGAAAATTGGAATTTCAAAATGGGACCTAATGGGGATTCCTTCGGTTTTGGAGTCATCCTCCAGTGGACACGTGAGGAACTGCAGCTTCTGCATTGGCTTCATTTTTTATTACCGAAGGTTGCTGCTTGCTAAAGACAGTTTTTTTTTTAAATGGAAGCTAATGGAAGTTTTGGCTTAATTTAAGCCAAAAAAATAGATTGACATTTTTTTATCTTTTTTTGTGTGTGTGATGAGGTCATTTAACATTTGTGTTTCCTTACAGCACAGATTGAGCACAACAATCTGCTTTGATGTGAAATCTGAAAGGTTTTTTATTGACGACCTTCAGTTTGATTTGCTTAATTTTGCAAACTTTAAACACACCAACATACGCTACATACAAAAAAATTTAATATTGTTCCCAAGAGAAAACAATTGGCATTAACTGAACAGATAACTTTGTTGTCCACGTGACTTATCCACGCTCCATCAAGGCCCTCGAGCGGGGGGGAGAATTAAACAAGGCAGTAATAGTTCACTTGACTGCTTTCAAAGGCTTCTCTTTACTTCCTCCCTCCAAGGTCATTATGTGGCAGCATGGACAGCACAGGTCAAGCGCCTGTCAGCCCCTCAACAAAAACAGCTCATGTTCCCCAACAATCAGGGGCTTGTTAGAGGTCTCCAACTCCGCCATGACAGAGTGAGACGTCGGTGAAACTGTATCCCTCTGCCTGCCCTCAACACTTATCTGTATGCCTTCCTCTCAGTCATCATGTCCTCAAAGTACAAGTACTGTCATATCAACTTTCTGCAGGAGAACAGGTGTAATAGTGGGCAAGGGAAAGAACATTAACTCAACTTCTATCGCTGAGTAAATGTTTGATTTATGTGTACATTACTTTGTTATCGGGGGACAAATGTCACCTACTTTTTATGCTGTACTTTTCAGTAAAGCAATACCTTTCTCAATCGTTCAATGCACTTTACCTGTAGCCCTATTGTTCCACCCTTTGTTCATCTATCTTTTTTTTAAAGCCAAAAGCTCAATCTTTCTCTTCTTTAGCCTCCTCTTTATTTTCAAAGCTCATTACATCCTCAACTCAAAGGCTCAACTGTGCTCCTTTAGCTAAAAAGCACCCTCAGGGCTCTACTGTCACAAGAGGAGAGGGAGTGGTCGCCTCAGTGACACCACCTGAGCACAGGAAGTGTCCCTTCTGGCTTTGAACCAAAGAGATTTAAGCATCATGACAGGACACACCCTATCACGATACAGCCATCACTCAGAGTATTTGAGACTAAAGGGAAGTTCATTTCACAAAAATGTTGCACTTCAAAGCAATTTTGTGCACTCTACTCTCCTGTTTCACCACGTTTTATACATTTTATTCCATTAGATATACCTACACCAACTACTCTGTTTGAAATAGAAGCCAGAGAATCAGGCCTGGAGGGGTCTCGTCCCTCAACGTTTAGTTGGGGTTGATTGACCAATGCAGAGCATTGAGAGAAGGTGTATGGTTGCACAGGGGCAGTCTGGTGATCTTACAGTGTGCCCATTACACCCCCCCCCCCTTTGCAGAAACTTAGCAAAACTTTAAACAGAGCAGGTGAACATCCAGTTGCGAATGTTGAGGTAAAACACATTTTCATGGATAATATGTAAGTTATTGAAATAAAAAAGTTTTCAAAAATAACTTTGCAATTCAAACCAAGTGATATGCATGGACACAAGTGACTGTTTAATGTTAGTGAGGGTGTTCTTCAGATAACCCCCCCCCCCAAAAAAAAAGTGTATTGAAGGAATCGTAATGTTTGACATGATGTGTGTTGAGATTTGGAATAAAGTGATGCTTGTATGCAGAGATATACACTTTATATATGTGTGTGCAAACTAGTGACTTTAAACAGCACAAACACACACACACACACACACACACACACACACACACACACACACACTGCACACACACAATCACAACTATTTAGCGACCTAACAATCAAAGATCATTATAAATCTCCATATATGAAGCACTTATCATCTTTTTAGTAAGCTGAGACTCACAGTTTATCTGGCTAATTTCTTTCTTCTGTTTTGACTCAAGAATATCAAAAAACACACACAAAATGATCCACACAGAACAAGGCAACACGATAGATTCATTTATCTATCTCTGTCCAAATTTTAGCTGCACTAATGTTGTTCCCAGCTGTCAGAAGTTCATCGCTGCTTTTGTCACATATAGCTGAGGGGCGCCACCGCCTGGTGAACCATGGTCACTACAATTCAGCAAAGAAATGAAAGAAAATCCACAGAAATGCTGATTTGGTGACACCAAGTGGGTTTTTACTGTCATTACAACTCTGACACAGACGAGCAAACCATCCCTGTTTTAATTGTTTGGTTAATTATTAACAATTTACGAACAAAAGTAAATACTAAGGTTTTTGTTTTGTACATTTTTGATAGGGAACAAGGACATTTTTTCAACTTTTTTTATTTTACATTGGAAATTACATTTCTGCTCCAACCTGCCTGACGGAGGCTCTCCACAGCACAGAGATGCTTTAAATAAGGACCATTTGATTCAGTTATTACTGATGAGGGCAGAGATTCCCTCAGTGGTCAGAGAGCAGAAATAATCAGCAGTTAGGTCTCCCGTCCTGCAGACCTGAAGTAATTATTGTCTCAAGATAAAAACATGAAGCAGAGGTGATTTTTTTAAAGGAGAAAATAAACTAGAGATAGAAATGACCTTAATATTATTTCTCTCTCTGGGCATTTCCAATAAGAGTATTCCATCGGAGGGTTTGATAAAAGGATTATGCGGCGAGCTTTATGCAGCTGGACTCAAATCTGGATATGGAAGGAGAGCTGTTTGATTGAATAATTCTTGTTTCCTTTCTGCACAGCTAGCAGTCCTCTTTGGGAAAGTAGAAATCAGCATTATACCAGATTTATACATGTGTGCTCTGACTGTCTGTGCATGTCAGTCTGCCTGGGCTGTAACTCTAAATACCAGCACACCTATCTGTTTGCATGTTTGTATGTCTGTCTCCAAAGATGAATGTGCTGATACGCAGTGTGAATAAGTCATAGAAGTCATTGCCAGAAAGCTATAATGTTTAAAGCAAACAACCAGAAATACAGGAACTAGTATTTTCTCCCCTTGAGATTTTTCCTGGCAGCAAAGGGCAACCTTGAACAGGAAATATAATGAATTCCTTGATTTTCTTTTAAAAGCCTGACAACCATTGATCATGAGGAAATGCAAAAAACAAAAAGCAGAAGTTAACCCATTCTAACTACTGACTTTAGCAGTAGAATTTGTTTTTTGACAGCTCTGAGTTGAGAATTTCAGCCATTGCCATGTTGTTTTTTTAAAGTTCTCATATTATGCAAAATACACTTTACCTTGTTTTTTTTAACACTAATATGGGTCCCTAGCCTGAATACATTGTATTCTGCAGACATGAGCCATGCAGAGCAGCATACTATTACTACTGATGATGGTGTATGGTGCAAGTTTTCTTTTAAAGATTATTTTTGGGCTTTTTGTGCCTTTATTTGAGAGAGCTAACTAGCTATCTTATTTGAGAGAGCTAATCTGAGCTATCCATATGATCTCAGTACATTTAAAATCCCCTACTTCCTTGAGGTTTGAGTTTGAGTGCGTGATGTCGCTGATTATGGAGGCAAAGACTCACTGTGTTGGAGTTGATAGATATTGATTACAGATCATTCAGTGTGGGTTTATGCAATCTGTCTTTAACACAACAAACACATTAGTTTGATCCAGACACACATGATTAGATAGCAGAACACCACAGGTTAGGATCAGCGAATTGGGTTCCTCTTGAAGTCTGCAAGCTGACGTACTTACAATAGTTAAGGCACTCTGTTGTTGTTGTTTTATAAATAAAGTTTAAAGAAACCCTTTTTACTGGACATAACAGATACTGAAGTAAAACAAATGATGGGAGGTTGTGAAGCCTGAAGTTGCACTTATAACGTGTATGGATATTTTCTAACTGTGGTGTACTTTGGGTACAATATTGATTAAGTAAAGTTGACAGGATTATGTGGAAACAGGCCTCGACAAAAATGCATGAAGAGATGTTAATTAAAGCTGAAGACACAAGTAAACTTGACGATTCAAGTTTTAAACACTTGAAATTATAATGAAGAGATTGAATTAACAGTTAGAGAACCAACATGGTGTGACTCTAAACTTTCTGCAGAATCAACAATATCTCCTCCACAAACCTCAGAGCAACATGAGAGCAGAACTGTGAGCCAATCAGAGCTTTCGGACTCTGATAGCTCTCAGCTTGAACTGATTAGGTGTTTGGAAGGCCACAATCACCCTGAGAATATTTGCAAGCTGAATGTGTTGAAGGGGTCAGAGAGAGAAAAAACAACAAAGAAGTTGAAGCCATCTGAAAGAAAGAAAAGAGAAGAATGAAATAAAGAGAGAGAGAAGGGGAAATCTAAGGTTAGGACAGGAATAGCAAAACAAGAAGAACAAAAAAGGCAGAGGTGATTTAAGTGATTTAAGAAGGAGTGGATTCAAAAGGACGGACAGCAAGAGATATCAAGTTGTATCAGAGAGGATGAAGTTTAATGAGAGGAGGACGCCGTTGCTGTCCGTCAAAGAAAACATTGAGATGGAGCTGTTCTCTTCAGAGGAGTCCTGCATGGTCATAACAACACTCGAGAAGGAGGAAGAATGCAGCTATGACCGGGTGTGTCTACAATTTAAATTTAAAGCTTATAAAGGAAGAAAACTGTTGTGCTACTCAGACCAAATATGTGTCATGTTAAGCTTTGCCTTTTTTGAGTGGAGGTCCAAATATTGTTCTGTTCTTAAAACCCTAAAATACATCCACAGGCTGACTATCAGCCAAAGGTTTTTGATAGTAAGGGTCATGCAGGTCATGAGGAATCTCTGTTTTTGAAACGGAGGTTCATGAATGTTTTAAGTGATTGAGATTAGATACTGCTGATTTATTTCCTGTTAAATCACTTTTAAGATCAGCTGACTCGACATGTGTCACCACTAGACTCATGTTCATTTCCTTAAAATTACGGAAAGTGTGTGACTCAAAGTACAAAGAGTCACATTTAGGGATCAATTCCCTGCAAAATAAACTTCATTTTACAAGCCCACATTTTTGAGAAATTTTGTTACCACTTAAATGCAGTAAATGCTGTGTTTGTGTTGCAACCTCACAATTAGGTCTACAAGTGGCTGCCGGTTCTGAAAAAGTATTCTACTATACTGTGTTCTTGTGTTTTTTTCTCGTTTTTTGGCACACAAACAAAATTCCATGCACCGATGATCTTTGAAACTGCAGCATGTTTTTGTCGACACTTCAGAAATACATTTAAATGGATTCCTTTAAGGCAATATATCCCAACCTGAGGACGGACAGACATATATGAGAAGTCGAGAGATGAAGTGGAGGATATGTGAATAGAAAAATGCAGTCTTGTTAAAATTATTTTAGTCTTATCAGATTAAATTGAAGTTAATCAGTAATAATAAATGTCTGGGAAGTCACTATTTGGTTCATCTGGATATTCTGGTAAACCTTGAAACCATGGATAAGGTCTTGAAAGTAAATATTCTTTTGTTTCCTAAGTCTCAAGCCAAACACAATAAACAAAGCAAAGTGAAAAAACACTTGACAAGGACTGAAACAATCAAAGCAAACAGGTCAGCTCGTCATGTCACATACTTTACAGTCCCTTCATGGAAGCATTCGTTTTTGCATTCGTCAAGCAGATTAAACATCTTTTTTCCTTTTCTTTAACTCAGAGACATCTGGAGCATCCTCTGGTCCCCGACTCTGAGGAAGAGGAGGAGGAGGAGGAGGAGGGAGGGGACCAGAGCTGCTCTTTGAGACCCCTCTCAAGGAGCAGCAGCCTAAAACTAGAGCAGAGTCTGCTGCTAAGGATCTGACCAAGCACCTTCCCGCTGTCCCAGGATTCATGGACGAGATTGAGATTGAAATGGAGGTAAGGGAAAATGCATGTTCTTAAGTACGCTGTAAAGGGAGCTGACTGATAATAATAATAATAATAATAATAATAATAATAACTTTATTTATATAGCACCTTTTAAAAACACAGGTTTACAAAGTGCTTTGACAAACAAACAAGAAGAACAATCCAAACTAAAGCAAACACAGAAGAACATAAACAACAGCAAGAACATAACAAATGCAAAATACTAAAAATAATTAAATACAATTCAATAGAAAAGAACCCAAAGTGCACGATACACAACAGACATATAGAACCCGACCATCACAAGAACCATCATCAGAACCATCATAAGAACCATCATAAGAACCCAGGAAACACAAGAACCCAACAACACGAGCTGAGACCAAGAGGAACTAAAGATTTAAAAAGATGTAAGAAACTAAAAGAGATAAAAGCAAATAAAAAGAGAACAGCAATAAGAAGGTAAGAGCAGAAAAAGAAATAGAAACAAGTGAATAAATTATCAAAAAATAATAAAAGTGTATATATAAAACATAAATAGACTAAGTAAGATAAGAAATTACCAAGTTAAAACATAAGAGGAGTTAAGATAAGAGCATAAATACGAGATAAGAGCATGAATAAAAGGATAAATAAATAAAAGGATATTTAATTTAAAGGAGAATCAAACTGCAGAAAATTGTGGGAAGTGTGGATTTAATTATAAATAATAAATACATTTCCAAGTAAGCCTCTTTTTCTCCCTGTTTTTTAAACAAATGAAATCTGTTTTTTGTTGTCTCCCTCTTTGCAGGTGTTTCTCAGAGTGCCTAAGAGGGAGCTGGTGGAGTTAAAGTTCGATGATCCAACCCCCATGACCCTGGTATGTTGCCTGAGGTGTACTTAGTCACTTCCTGATCGGCACTCTAACATTCCAACACGGTGACACTTGAACAGACAAACCACTTTATCTGGTAAAACATTCTTGCTTCATATCTGCCATCTCACTGATTGTCTGTTTCAATCTGCTAAATCAGTCAGGTTTTTTCTGTTGCATGCATTGTGATGGTTGTTACGGATAACAAACTGAACCCATCTTGTTGTCAGGTGTTGTTGCCAGGGTGAATAAGGTCAACAACGTCAAGGGCAAATGTCATGTCGCTTCAAGAAGAGATTTAAATTTTAGTGTATCGGATGTCAGTTCTTTTAAAGCAAGTGTACACTCGGGGAACCACATTTTTTTTCACAATTTTAAGACATACTGTCCTTCCCCAGATGTTTTTTTCACCAAATAGTCACACTTAATTTTCAGTTTTTGGAGTAAAAAATGATTGTGAAAATATGTGAGGATGCACTTAATGTGATGTATTAGTATGACCAACCAGTATGTCTTTTAACATCCTTTTTACCTAACTTTATCACAATGTTGTGTTGTGTTGTGTGCAGCAGCAAACTCCAAGCAAAGCTAATCGTCTGAAATGGAAGAGACAAACTCCACAGAGGACAGGACTGGTTGTCAAAGACGTGGTCTGTCTCCCCAGAGGACTCTACCTGGAACAGCTGGAGAGGTGAGTGGCTTTAAAGTGTATTAAGTCTTTTGAACAACTACTGGTGGTTTAAAATGTATGGATATTTATGGCACTCTTCTTCATTAATCCTTTTATATTGTTATTTGGATGTATTGTTACTTCTTTAACCCTTTTATTTGTAGTCCTGATGAGAATTGTCTTGAACTGAAGGTAATTTTTTTCTTTCAATTTTTGGATATTCATGGTTCTGAGAGGATAAATCTTCATGTTTTACTGATCACTTCTACTAGCAATTAATACAAATAGTTGACTCTAACACCCAATATTTATTGGTCAGAATAATAGGAGTACATTCTTGCCCCGCAGAGGATGAACCCTTTCCAATCTGGACACTTTCTCAAACCACCATTAAATGTACCAGTGTATGTTTTATTTAACTTAAGTAAAAGCATAAGAACATAATTTGAGGTCAGTGTTTTTTTTTTTTGTTTTGTTTTTTGCCATGGTGGTTATATTGCCGGTGTGTTTAAATTCTCTTTATTGTTCAATACAAATGATAAATGAATGCAGTAATAATTCCGCTCTGTTTCACCCAAGACCCGTTGTTCCACGTGGCAAAGAACGAGCATCACTGGTGGCCTCAGGAATGACCGCTCGCATCACTATCGACTGTGGCTGGTCGGCCAATCAGATGGAGAGTCGGCTGCTGTTGCTCTTCCGAGGGGGGATTGTAAGACAGACCGGACAAAAGTTCTCCTTCACATATTTACAGGTGTGTAAGAATTAAAAGGTGTTGGAGTCAGATACGCTTCAACACCTTCTTTCTTTCTTTTGGGTGGTCAAAAAGCTCCAGCAACACTTGATAGTTTAAAGATCAACTTAATTCAACTTGACAAGTTTCAGCTTGTGGCCTTCATCAAGGTCATCCAATTTCTCTAATTCTTTGACCCCAAAAAGAAAGGATCAGGTGTAGCTTGCCAATCCATAACTGGTGTGTTCATGTGATGTGATGTTGGGTCGCAGTGTGTGCAGGGCTCCAGGGTGCTGTTTGTCCCGGACACCCCTGCAGAAGGCTGGACAGTAGAAAAGGTGCTGAAGTTGGCAGGACATGGTGCTCTGTACATCAGCCACCAGGAATACCCACAGGTGAACAAAGGCTTCTCTCGGGCTTGATTTTGCTGTTGCATTGTTGTCAGTGGAGGATCTTTTTTGTCTGCAAAAAGCTTCCAGCTATAATAATTCCACTATAAAAATACATTCTTACCTGTGTGATGTTAAAATTTAAATTATAACATAATTGTTTGGTTTTCTCTTAAAGGGATACTTCACCTGTTGAAACATGAATCTGTGTTGACATTGGGTCATATATGTAGAAATGTGAAATAATTTTGAAGTTGGTGCCTTCTTGGCCGTGAAAAGGCAGAAAGTGTCTTTTTGGCTCATGTTGATGAAAGACATCAAATCCCAGAATGCACAGCACCGCAGGCCACTCCCACTAAGAAACACAAGACCGGCCTGTCGGCAGCAGCCGTCACGCCGCTATATTTATATTTTTTCGCCATTATCAGCTTTCTCCATAGAGCCTGTTAGCAGAGCTTCCAAGCAATATGGCGGACGTTAAGTTTGGATTCTGGGAGTGAGTTCCCACCCACTGATCTGTGATTGGTCTGTAGCTTCAGTGGTCGAAAATATGAGGAACTAGCGTTGTAGTTTCACACCGCTAACTGCAACAGCTTCCGATGACACAATATGACGATTCTTGCATCACTGGAAGCTCCTTCTCAGACTCAGAAATACAAAGATTAACCATCTCAGGGAAAATGAGGGCGGGATGCACGACCATTCAAAAATACTACCAGGTTTCTAATGATACAAAGATTAATGCAAATGGGTGAAGTATCCCTTTAAATGTTCTTAATATGAAATTGGGTGCTTAAAAGAACCAGAAGACTTTGATTCTTACATTACAGGCTATTTATTGGACTACTGAAGAGCAAAGCCATAATTCCGTGTGTGCCACTTACCTTCAGTGTGTGATAAGAGCGTTCTAACAGATGAAGAATCAATGCAAAAAAGCTATTATATCAATGCAATAGTGGTTGATTTTTGTTTGTTGACTTCGTTCCAGTAAGTTTAAGTTCTCTCTCTCTCTCCCCCCCCCTCTCTCAGAGAGTACAGGACTCTGTAGCCAATGAGACTTCTGTGTTGAACAAGTAAGAAATCTTTTAAAACATTTTAAAATGGTTAAATTATGAAGAATAAAATGTAATTGCCTCGATGTTTGTCTTTCACCATTTGTTAGGACAGGTGACTTTAGCCCAGAGGAGAGAGAAATGATGTGCCTGGATAAAGAAAGTCAGCTGTCAGAGCAGACCCAGCCACGTGTTTGTGGCCCCTCAGAGGAGGTTGATCTGAAAACCATCCTGACGCTGTTCCGTCAGGACAATGTGGATCAAAATGTAGAAACTCACATCCAGGTGAGGAGGGGAGACCTCCTCCACTGTGCTCGGAAGGCAGTGAGAAGACCTGGCTTCTACTTCAGGACGACACCTACCATCTCCTTCATCGGGGAGGAGACTCACAGTCATGAGGGAGCTCTCAGGGAGTTCTTCAGGTTTTTAATGTTACACTCATATTTACAGTGGAAAACACAGGTGCTATATTTATTTCCCTTTTTTAAAAATCAAGCTCTTAACATAGACTAAGGTGTCAGCATCTGGTTTTCTGAAGGCTGTTCTTGCTGGATTGTTTGGAAAAGTAGCATCCACCATATTCATGCTCAGGTTAGGAGCCTCCAGTGATGTTATGTGGTGATGTCTGTGTTCCAGGTTTGCAACTTCTCAATTTATGGTAAAAGCTAATAAAATAAGTTTCACTTTTCATCTTTTTTTTCAGCTGATCAATTAAGAGCTAATCAAACAAGCTAACATCACATACAGGCAAATGGATGTGATAAGAAAGGCTTACATTAACTCACTTAGCAGATGCTTTTATCCAAAGCGACGTACATCAGAGAGTAAGAACAACACAAACAAGGATCTAGAAAAAAGGAACAATGTCAGTAAGAGCAAACGATCAGCTTTGAGTCTGATTGGACACACAGGTGCTGACAGGAAGTGACCAGAGGCAAAGCACAACATTGAGGGCAGTTCTTGAGAGCTCTAATCAGTATAGAAACCATCTTATAAGTCTTCGTTATCAAACAAAAACCATCGTCATTACCATCATCATCATCAATAATATGGAGACCATCATCATTAAGTTAGTAGGTATTCATGAAAAGCTGGGTCTTTAGCTTTTTCTTAAAGGTGCAGAGGGACTCTGCAGATCAAATGGAGTTCAGAAGTTCATTCCACCACCGGGGGGCGACAGAGGAGAAGAGTCTAGTCAGCGTCTTAGGACCCTGTTGTGAAGGTTGGATCAGACGCCTTTCATTGGCAGAGCGTAGTGGGTGGGAGGGAGTGTAGACCTGGACTCTCATGACTAGGTAGCTTACTAACGTTAATGTAGAGAGACGGACAAGCTTTGTGACGCAGCTGCTGTAATGTGGTAAATGTTGTTTTATTTTGAAGTATCGCCAGATGTGCTTTGTGAATTTTCACTACATGTTGTTTTTTGCTCTTCTTACTTAGACTGACCTTGCTGGAGTTGCAGCAAACGTCTTTATTTGAAGGTCTCCCAGGGCGTCTGTTCTTCACCTATGATCTCTCAGCTCTTGAAGACAGGAAGTATTATGACGCAGGTCTTCTGGTCGGCTGGTCTCTGACTCAGGGCGGACCTGGACCTCATTGTCTACACTCTTCTCTTTACCAGGTTGTGTGCATACTTGTCTTTGTTGGATACATGCCAAACCAATGGGCAGTATCAACCTTATATGGATTACATACCTTGACATCGTGAAGCTTTATCACTTTTTGTCCAAAACAACGACATTGGATCACTCTTTCCTTTCTATTGTTGACATTTTTACCTCAAAGCTTTGAATATAACATGATGCATTTAGTGCCAGGCAGTTGTGTTGAAACAGGTTTGCACATTTATTTTCTTTTTTTTTTTTTTGTCATGTGTTTATTTTGTCACAGCTGATGTGTGGCCAGAATCCATCTTTAGAAGACTTCAGCTGGAAGGACATTGTTGACGTTGAAGCACAAAACAGACTGCAGCAGGTAGCAGATAGGACTCCCATGATTCCCCGCTAGCCTCGACTCATCTTTTGTTATTGTAGTATTGATTGAAAGCCCCCTGGTGGCTATACCCTCTAAAACACAATTCTAAAGTTTATGTTTCTGGGGGTGAGTGAGGAACAAAACATTCTTTTTTTATATTTTGTATGTCAGGTATGAATTGTTTCCTTTATCCTTTTAAGGAAAAAAGCGTTTGGCTGGTATTATCTAAGTGACTGAGGGATGCAAAAGTTGTTAAAAAATATACATATAGTATAATTTCTCAAGTAAAAAATCTGGTCAAAAGTGACATATATATATATTTTATTCCAACTTGGCAAAAGTGAAAACAAAAACAAAAAAAACACTTTTCTGCCTCGCAGGGCTTCCATACATTTCCATCATCACAAGTCAACCAGCGACTGTGAAAAAAACTTGCCGATAATTTACAAAGCATCTCTTCTCTTCTGAGACTCATGTTTTTTTTGTACACTGTCCTTGATTCAAATAAACGATTAAACTCAACTTTAACCCATGCAGTAGTTTGTATACACATGTTTGAGTGTGCACACGCACACACAGCTTTTCACAGTTACAGATAACTCTCCTTTCTTTCTTTTGCAGCTGCAGAGTTGCAGAGATGTCAATGTGCTGACTCCCAGTCTTTGCGACTGGTTGTCCAGCTGTGGGATCCCTGAAATCCAGTCAGCCCATACTGATGAAGTAACAGATATCTATAGTCATGTAGTGAAACATTACATCTACCACAGGTAGGGGGAAAACAAACACACATGCATGTATGGGTTAATATCCAAATTCTGTCCATTCCTTAAGTGTTCTTTTAAACACACAGATTCTATAAATTGAATAGCATCTTCTATATGAGCAAATTCAATGATCACTTAGTCCATTTGGCTGTTCTTCAGGGTGTCAGTATGATCTCCCAGTTCACTGAGGGGCTGAACAGCTGTAGTGGATTGTGGGATATGATACAGTCCCACTGGGAGGTGTTTAAACCAGTAATGACAGGAGCTCATCAGCATCCTTTGACCCTGGAAGAGTTCAAACAGCTTTTTACCGTCTGCTACAGTCCTCCAGACAGCCCACTGAGGGCAGCTGAGGAGGCAGCAGCTGCTCACTGGGAAACAGCCCTCGCCTTGATCAGCGGTAAGAGCAGAGGGATGAGTGGAGACGACGTGATGGGTTTAAGATGCGTCAGGAGTTCCAGGGTTTACTGCGAGAAAAGCTGACATCGTTTTTTCTTTTGGTCACAATCAGATGGACAGGCAGATTTTTCCCTTGAAGAACTCCTCTTCTTCATCATTGGAGCTGAACATCAGCCTCCTCTTGGGTTCCCCGATTTGATCTCCTTGCGTTTTTACACCGAGGTTAGTATCTATTAGATCAGTTTGCAGATGGCTTTCCAACAAAGAGTCAAGTGGTTGTACTTGTAGTCCGCCTGTTATAAGTGCTTGGTTGCTTTAATAGATCAAGGTTTTTTTGTGTGAATAATATTGCAAAGGGAACAGTCTAGATCTGCTCTATATGTGAACTGTCAAGAGAAAAGTAATGTTGGGACGGGTTGCTTTATACATGCAACTTGATTTAGAATAATTATTGACAGTATTAAATTAATCATGATATTATTTTCCTGTGTAGCATAATATAAATACAGTTTGTATAGATATTCAGTTGATGATAATACTATCATCACAGATTGTTCTTGGTTTGCCTTGATATTTTTATGTCTTCAGATGAATCTTCATTTCATATTTCCCTTGCCCTGACTTAATTTTCCAGGAGGGGAGCATGTCAGGTGTGCACCGGCCCCACGCCTCCACCTGTGCTCTGGAGCTCTTGCTGCCAACAGGAGTGGCCGGGGCTGCAGATGTTTTGGTGCTACTGGGTAGAGCCATGCTCAAGGCCCTGGGCTTTTCGCGTGTCCAGGAAGAGGAAGAGGAAGAGGAAGAGGGAGAAGGAGAAGGAGAGAACAGCAGTACGGATGTGATGACAGATTTATGAAGTGGGAGCTCCAAATCCTTCTTCAGCTCTGGTCAAAGGTTTCTGCAGGAAAGAAACATTGAGACTGAGAAGAAAGTTCTGAGTTTGCTGCATTCCTCAATATAACTCAGGTGACCCAATGAGGTAGTTTAGACCAGTGTTTCCTGTGCTCAAAACTTTAATCATTCAGAACTCTTCAATTTAGGACGGTCATAAATGTTTGGTTTTGAAATTAATATTCCAAAGTGCAATGGATTGACTCAGGTGTTCAAAATAAGATCAAACTATTTAATATTGTGCCTCTGCTGATTTCAATCATCTAATACAGAAAAGAATGTTTTGCACAATTATCAGAGCTATGTATGCCTTGTATTGTCCTGTTTGTATCTTAACATAATTTAATAAGGCAGATTATACAGTTCATGTTTAAATAATTGTATTTGCTTGAAAAAAAGAAAAAAAAAAGAAACGTTGAATAAAATGTATTCCGACTCTATCCACTGTCCAATCTCTGTGATAAAATAAATCTTTAAAAAAAAGAAAAGAAACACGTCTTTCCAGATATGAACAAGCATTTACGCTGAACTGTCCTCTCCCATTATACGTAAACAAAACCGAAAGCACACTTACTTTTGACTTTTTCTGTTCACATGCAGGTCCTATGGGGACAACTTGGAGGCTTTCAATCTTTACCTGGTTCAATCCGTTCTGATTCAAAAACTAAATAGAGAGAGAACAAAGAGTTAACATCCTAAGATTGATCTCAATCCCTTCACCCAACCCTTACTGTGTTCATGCATTGGCGTTTGTGTAACTCAACAAATGCTGTTACATACCTGTGTTAAAAGATCGATGAGGTTTTCATTGCTGACTGCTCCAAAGGTACGTACTCTTAGCTGGAGATGTGCCAAGCCTTTAAGAATAAAAGAAACACATGTAGCAAAAACAAATTTAAAAATGTGCAGCTTCTGTATGTCAGTGATAAGTCCTAGAAAAACGTTTCCTTGAGCGTCCATTTAGAGTTGTTCCATTACTGTTAAGGGTTATACCAGGATGTAATCCCTTTGCATAAAAAATGAGTTGGGAATGTGTTTTTAAAAAGTCTGTTATACTTCCTTTTTCTGTCAATTGTTGATTATCTTTCATGGTTAGTTTGACTGCAGCTTTTATTTATACTAACATGATCTCCTGGCTCAAAACAGAAGCAGACCCACTTTTAGATCCCTTCCAGTTTGCGTACAAGCAAGGACGTGGCACAGATGATGCTATTAACAGCATCACACACCTGGTCACTAAACACCTAGAAGATCCCAAGGCTTATGCACGCTTACTTTTTATTGATTTTAGCGCAGCTTTTAGCACACTACAACCTCACTTGCTGATGCAGAAACTGAAACAGATGCGTGTTAACCCTTTTGTTTTATGATGGTATTCTTCTTTCTTAACTAATCGAACCCAACATGTCAGAGTGAATAATGCACTTTCGCAGCCCAGACTCTGCAGTACTGGTGCTCCTCAGGGTTGTGTCAGCTGCCCTGTTCTCTTCACTCTGTACACCAATGAATGCACCAGACTCTATCCAGAGAGCTACATCATTAAATTCTCGGATGATACAGCTATCCTGAGCCTAATGCACAGAGACAGCAGTCCTTCTTTTTGTTACTCTGAGGTAGAACATTGTGTGCTCTGGTGTGATAGAAACTACCTTGTTTTAAATGTTAAAAAGACAGAGGAGATGGTGTTTGATCCCAGGGGAGTGGGTGATCATTGGCCTGTGGTCATCCACAAGGAACCCATTGCACAGGTCTGCTCTTTTAAGTATCTCAGGGTTCATATTGACAACACTCTCAGCTGGAGGACCCATGTTGAGAGTCTCTGCTCTAGACTGCAACAGCGCATGTACTTCTTACGCAGACTGAGAGTCTATGGCGTTCAGCAGAAATTCATGTTGCTATTCTACAATGCTGTTTGTTAAGCATGATCAGATATAACAGCCTGGTACGGTCACTTGTCTGTTCAGTTAAAATCACAGATAACATCCATCTCTCCAAACACTCTATGAGCAGTCTGTTGTTAGACAGGCACAGAAAATAGTGTCTGATCCTACTCACATTCTTCTCTCTGAGTTTCAGCTTTTACCCTCTGGGAGAAGATTCAGCCTCCCTCAGACCCGGCTGAACCGTTACAAACATTAATTTGTGCCAATGTCCGTTAATACTCTGAATAACAGGTAATGTAGGATGTGACCAGGGTCAGTGCAATATGCCAATATGTTACTGTTGCAAGACAGTGTTTTTATGTATGTGGAATTGTTACTTGAAATGCTCTATAGTTTTGTATGATCTCTATTTATGTGGTTTATTTGTTATTCTGTTAAAACTCCAGGACAGAGTCCAATAAAATTTCCCTTTGGGGACAATAAAGTATATCTTGTCATATATTTTCTTATCTATCTTAAACTTTGAGCAATTACACAAAAAAATTCAATAAATATGGGATGAATTTTGTTTTCAGCTCAGCACAATTAACATAAATTGTTCTTAGAAACATCAAAGGTAATCAAGTGTCGATTTCAGTTTTGTTACTAATTTGTCATGTGAAGGACATTTATTTCACTTTCAAATTGGGACTAAAGGGATAAAGCAACAGTTTGGGTGAAAAAAAGAATTCACGAAGTTTCTTTAAAGTTGAGCTTAACCCTTTAATTATTATTTGCAGAAAGATTACAGTTGAAATTCTTGTGGGAATTTAAGCAAAGTGTAAGAAAAGGGAATATTAAAATGTAAGATTACCTTGTGGTGTTGTGGTAGTTGGAGGTGCAGATGGAGGTGCAGTTGTGGTAGTTGGAGAAACAATTTTGGTAGTTGGAGCTGCAGTTGTTGTAGTTGGAGCAGCAGTTGTGGTAGTTGGAGCTGCAGTTGTGGTAGTTGGAGCTGCAGTTGTGGTAGTGGGGCAGCAGTTGTGGTAGTTGGAGCTGCAGTTGTGGTAGTTGGAGCTGCAGTTGTGGTAGTGGGGGCAGCAGTTGTGGTAGTTGGAGCTGCAGTTGTTGTAGTGGGAGCTGCAGTTGTGGGAGCTGCTGTTGTCGTAGTTGGAGCTGCAGTTGTGGTAGTTGGAGCTGCAGTTGTGGTAGTGGGGGCTGCAGTTGTGGTTGTTGGAGCTGCAGTTGTGGTAGTGGGGGCTGCAGTTGTGGTTGTTGGAGCTGCAGTTGTGGTAGTGGGGGCTGCAGTTGTGGTAGTGGGGGCTGCAGTTGTGGTAGTTGGAGCTGCAGTTGTGGTAGTTGGGGCTGCAGTTGTGGTAGTTGGGGCTGCAGTTGTGGTAGTTGGAGCTGCAGTTGTAGTAGTTGGAGCTGCAGTTGTGGTAGTTGGAGCTGCAGTTGTAGTAGTTGGAGCTGCAGTTGTGGTAGTTGGGGCTGCAGTTGTTGTAGTTGGGGCTGCAGTTGTGGTAGTTGGGGCTGCAGTTGTTGTAGTTGGAGCTGCAGTTGTGGTAGTTGGAGCTGCAGTTGTGGTAGTTGGGGCTGCAGTTGTTGTAGTTGGAGCTGCAGTTGTGGTAGTTGGAGCTGCAGTTGTGGTAGTTGGAAAAGCTGTTGTGGTAGTGGGGGCTGCAGTTGTGGTAGTGGGGGCTGCAGTTGTGGTAGTTGGAGCTGCAGTTGTGGTAGTTGGAGCTGCAGTTGTAGTAGTTGGAGCTGAAGTTGTAGTAGTTGGAGCTGCAGTTGTGGTAGTGGGGGCTGCAGTTGTGGTAGTTGGAGCTGCAGTTGTGGTAGTTGCAGCTGCAGCTGCAGTTGTAGTAGTTGAAGCTGCAGTTGTGGTAGTTGGAGCTGCAGTTGTAGTAGTTGGAGCTGCAGTTGTAGTAGTTGGAGCTGCAGTTGTGGTAGTTGGAGCTGCAGTTGTGGTAGTGGGGGCTGCAGTTGTTGTAGTTGGAGTTGCAGCTGTTGTAGTTGGAGCTGCAGTTGTAGTAGTTGGAGCTGCAGTTGTGGTAGTGGGGGCTGCAGTCGTTGTAGTTGGAGCAGCTGTTGTGGTAGTGGGGGCTGCAGTCGTTGTAGTAGGGGCTGCAGTTGTGGTAGTGGGGGCTGCAGTTGTGGTAGTGGGGGCTGCAGTTGTTGTAGTTGGAGCTGCAGTTGTGGTAGTTGGAGCTGCAGTTGTTGTAGTAGGGGCTGCAGTTGTGGTAGTTGGAGCTGCAGTTGTGGTAGTTGGAGCTGCAGTTGTGGTAGTTGGAGCTGCAGTTGTAGTAGTTGGAAAAGCTGTTGTGGTAGTTGGAGCTGCAGTTGTGGTAGTTGGGGCTGCAGTTGTTGTAGTTGGAGCTGGAGTTGTAGTAGTTGGAGCTGCAGTTGTGGTAGTGGGGGCTGCAGTTGTGGTAGTTGGAGCTGCAGTTGTGGTAGTTGGAGCTGCAGTTGTGGTAGTGGGGGCTGCAGTTGTTGTAGTTGAAGCTGCAGCTGTTGTAGTTGGAGCTGCAGTTGTAGTAGTTGGAGCTGCAGTTGTGGTAGTGGGGGCTGCAGTCGTTGTAGTTGGAGCTGCAGTTGTGGTAGTTGAAGCTGCAGCTATTGTAGTTGGAGCTGCAGTTGTTGTAGTAGGGGCTGCAGTTGTGGTAGTGGGGGCTGCAGTCATTGTAGTTGGAGCAGCTGTTGTGGTAGTGGGGGCTGCAGTTGTTGTAGTAGGGGCTGCAGTTGTGGTAGTAGGGGCTGCAGTTGTGGTAGTGGGGCTGCAGTTGTTGTAGTTGGAGCTGCAGTTGTGGTAGTTGGAGCTGCTGTTGTGGTAGTTGGAGCTGCAGTTGTAGTAGTTGAAGCTGCAGCTATTGTAGTTGGAGCTGCAGTTGTGGTAGTGGGGGCTGCAGTTGTGGTAGTTGGAGCTGCAGTTGTGGTAGTTGGAGCTGCAGTTGTGGTAGTTGGAGCAGCTGTTGTGGTAGTGGGGCTGCAGTTGTTGTAGTTGGAGCAGCTGTTGTGGTAGTGGGGGCTGCAGTTGTGGTAGTTGGAGCAGCTGTTGTGGTAGTGGGGGCTGCAGTTGTTGTAGTTGGAGCTGCAGTTGTGGTAGTTGGAGCTGCTGTTGTGGTAGTTGGAGCTGCAGTTGTAGTAGTTGAAGCTGCAGTTGTGGTAGTTGGAGCTGCAGTTGTAGTAGTTGAAGCTGCAGCTATTGTAGTTGGAGCTGCAGTTGTGGTAGTTGGAGCTGCAGTTGTAGTAGTTGAAGCTGCAGCTATTGTAGTTGGAGCTGCAGTTGTAGTAGTTGGAGCTGCAGTTGTGGTAGTTGGAGCTGCAGTTGTAGTAGTTGAAGCTGCAGCTATTGTAGTTGGAGCTGCAGTTGTAGTAGTTGGAGCTGCTGTTGTGGTAGTTGGAGCTGCAGTTGTAGTAGTTGAAGCTGCAGCTATTGTAGTTGGAGCTGCAGTTGTAGTAGTTGGAGCTGCAGTTGTAGTAGTTGGAGCTGCAGTTGTGGTAGTAGGGGCTGCAGTTGTGGTAGTGGGGGCTGCAGTTGTGGTAGTGGGGGCTGCAGTTGTGGTAGTGGGGCTGCAGTTGTGGTAGTGGGGGCTGCA